TCATGAGAAACTGTAGTAGGCATTCATGGTTCCACTTCCTATCCCACTCAAACCTCTGCCCACTAGACACGGCTTTACACTCCAGCAATAGTGCCTGCAGACAAGAGGGAAGGCAGTCAAAGGGAGGGGACAGAGGGTGACAGTGTTAGGAAGTGGTGACCAATGAATGGAAGAGTATATCTGAGGAGGTGAGAGAGGCTGGTGTCCAGGGTGCAGGTGGAGAGACAGTCTGTGCTCAGAGCCTGGAGGGAGGGAGGAAGGGTGGGTGGGGAGGAAAGTTTGGGTGGGGAAGGCAGGTAAAGGAGTTTGTGCCAGATGGCCTTGATTTTTCTCAGAGAAGAGCGCTATGATACTTTGTGGAGAGTGAGGGTATGGGGTGTGAGGTGGGGGATGGGAAGAGAGTAGAGAAGCTTTGCTGTAGCAACCAGGGGGGCCAAGAGAGCTTGTTGACCAAAGGCAGGGAGAAGTGCCCAGTAGGAGAGGGGATGCAGCTGAGCCTGGTGACTTGGTGGTGACACCAGATCTTGAGGACAAGGCTTTCTTCACTGATGCTCTGCACTTCAGACCTTGAGCAGAGAAGTTCAGTGCTTAAGGTCAGCAGACTGGGGGTTTATCCAGGTGGAGGAGACTCTTCAGGGTAAGGGCTCAGAGACTGGGGGGGTCCAAGTTGGAAAGAAGGTCTGAGGGAGGCTAGCAGGCCGAGAGAAAATGGAATAATCAAGTTTAGGGTTGCGGATGCTGGTGTGGCTGATGAACCCATCTACTGAGAGTGGGATGGTTATGAACAGTCCTGAAGTGTAAGATCAGACTTTAAGACTTCAAAGATGGGACAGTTTAGGGTATACAGTGGGGCCATGGGCAGAGACAAAAGAAAAAGGATGGAAATGAATGTCCATGGGATTGAGGAACTAAGGAACAATCAGGCTGAGAGGCTGGGCGGGTCATCCACATGGAGAACAAGGGTGCCAGGAGCTAGAGGCCCTGGTGAGTGTGAGGGAGTGGCCAGGAGGTCAGGAGGTGACTGCAGGGCCAGTAGGGACCAGCCACGAGGAGAGGGGTGGAAATGGTACAGCCAGATGGAACGACCCTCATAGGCTTTTAAAAAGTTGCAGTGATTTGTGAGATCAATACATAAAAACAAAAATCCAATCAGCACAGGTAGGGTTTTATGCTTCTCAATAAATATCATCCCTCTGAATGTACATAACTCAGTCCATTTAATTGCTTCTTACTGATGGGCATTTGCGTTGTTTCCTCTTTCTCTCTGATGAGAAATAATGGTGGCAAAAGCCAGACACATGTGTGGGCTTTTGGTGGGCACACCTGCAGGGTAAGGTCCTCGTAGTGGACATACATGGCTGAATACAAGCGTGTTCAACTTTTTGGTTTTGTGCATTGAGGTAAGGGCAAATGTCTTTAACTCTGGTAGCTGTTGCTAACTTGCCCTCCAATCCATGTGCCAATCCACGTTCCCATGAATGAAGGACAAAACTTTGTTACCCCCACACTCACCATCACGGTTATCAAACATTTCAGTCTTTGACACCTGACAGGTGAAATGACTTTTCATTCCTCTTGTTACTGGATTTCTTTGAGTGAGGTTGAGCATTTTTTTCATATTTGCTATTTGGTTTTCTTTCTTTTCTTCTCTCTCTCTCTCTCTCTCTCTCTCTCTCTCTCTTTTTTTGTAAGTAATCTAGTGGTTCAAATTGCCAACCTACAAGTCCTGGCTTTTCTACCAGCTGTGTGTCCTTGGGCCATTTACTTAAATTTGTTGTGCCTCTGTCTCTTCTCTTAAAAATAGGTTTAGTGATTCAGAGAATGCCTTCAGGTTATTATGGGAACTAAATGGGTTAATAGATGCAAAGTGCTCAGGACAGTGCCAGGCACGTGCAGAGTCAGTACTGTGTAGGCACCAGCTCATATTATCCATGTCTGTTGTCCGTTTTCTTCTTTCTTGTCTTTTTCTCAGGGCCTTGTGTATTTAGGAAAGTAGCCCACTGGCTGTCATTTATGTTGCTTCTTTGTCTCTCATTATTTGACTCTTTTTTTTAAGTATTACATTCCATGCAGGAAGGTTAAATGGCTTTTGTTATGACTGCAAGCATTTGAATTCCAAGATAATGAAAACAAATCATGCTTTTCTTTTTCCTCTTTGGGAATCAGTGGACTCATCCATCAGAGGGCACAGACTATGAGTAACAGTCCTGAAAGTGCAGCAGGGAGCCCTGAAGAATGTCTCCCCCACCTCTCAGGAGAGGAGCAGCCAATACCCGCTACAGGGGCTGCAGGGCCACAGTGTTTGGGACAGGTTCAGTGAAGCCAAGCAGCGCTGAGGACCTGGGCCTGCTTATTTGTTCACAGCTGGGGCCCAGAGGGTGTGGTGGGAAGCCAGGAAGGGAGAGGAAGGATGAGTGAGCGTGTGCTTAGCAGGTGTGCGTATGTATGTGTGTGTGTGTGTGACAGAACATTATGGAGATGGGAGTGAGATTTTAGGGTAGGGAAGGACAAGTGGGAAAGGCTTTGGGGATTAACTTGTCTCAAGATTCTGCCACAGTCTCCTGAAGGGGTCTCTGGGAGGCCAGCTGGGGTACAGGCTGGGGTGAGTTTAGACGTACCACTGAACTTGGAGCCACTGTGGGGCTTCTTGTCCACAGCTCCTGGTGAAGCCCTCCAGAGGGTGTTTATGGGCACAGCCTGGCACAGATGGGCTCCTGCTGCCAGCCTGAAAACGTAGAGATGGCAGGAGACAGGCAAGGTTGGAACTGCCAGAAATGCTTCAGGGAGGGCCTGGTGAGGCTGAGGGGCAGATACCCAGCAGGCCCTGGAATGGGGCAATGCCACTCACGGGGAGGCTGAGGCCTGGACCTGGGAATCTTTTCTCCTTTGCAATGTCCTGCGGCTCTCCCCAAGGAACTAGGGATTTTATCTCATGCCCAGGGAGGTGCGGTCAGGGAGGGGCAGTGACTTGCTCAGGGTCAGCAGGCAGTAGTACCCTGCCAAAGATTTCTCAGGCCCTACTCCTAAGGGAGAAGTGGAGGGGTGGAAGGAATTCCAGGTGTGGGCGGGGCACAGCCTCCAGAGAGCAGATCCTGTGGGGGCAGTAGATGGGAGGGGGCTGGAGGGGGCAAAGGGCAGGGGTGGGGTTTGGGGGTAGAGGGGTAGGGGTCCAGGGTGGGAGGTAGAGGGAAAAAGTTGAGGATGGGTCCTGAGGGGTAAGGAATTTGGAGTGTGAATGTGATGAGGTGTGCATGTGTGTGGGTGTGTGCATGTATATGTGTGTGCATGTGTGTTTGAGCATGTGTGTGGAAATTAAACAATTGGTTTCTTTCACCTGCTTGGCAGGGTGTGGGCTGGGGAGGAGTGGGATCCCCACGATTCTGCTCTCTCTCTCACACACACACACACACACACACACACCCTGAGCAGACACCACTGATGGTCTCCTTGGGCATCCCTCTGCCTCCGGCCTGAGGTGTCCCAACACCAATAGGGAGGAGAGGGAGGGCAGGGGTCACTAAGAAGGTATTGCTAGATGGTCAGCCTTACCAGAAGTCCTGATCAACTGAAATGAAAACCCAGAAGGGGATCTATCCCTACCCTCCTCCTCCTCCAGAACGGCCCCAGGGCTTGGTATGAAGTGTCAATCTGTCCAGCTCATCAGGTCCAGGTGACAGCAGGCCTTTTCCAGGGGCTCCTCAGGCTGCCCCTGAAGCCACACTGGGTCTGTGGAAAATGGGGGAAGGAATGTACAGGGGTGTGGCCAGTGTGTGGGGCTGGAGCCTACCAGGAAATGAGGCTGGGTGTGGCTGTCTCTGTCCAGTGTTCCCTGTTCCCATCCAGTGTTTATCCCCCTCTAGGGCTGGGTTTGAAACTCCTGGGCATTGCTTGGTAGTGGCTTCAGGTGGGGTGTTGATGAGAACTGGTGACCTTTAAACCAGAAAATGGCCAGGTAGGGGGACTGGGACGTATGTCCGTGTGCAAACACAGGCTCATGCTCAGACATGCATATGAAAGTGGGCAATTGTGTATTCATGGTCCCCCTACCCCTCTATATGGACTCCCACCTGTAAAAGAACTTTCATAGACATGCACACACACAGGTCTGGGATATGCAGACAGTGAAGCCCAGTGACCTGCAGATGTATACACACAGAAATGTACAGACACCCACAGAGTGTCCCAAATACACACAGGTGTCCTCTTTTTCTACAGGAAAAAATAAGTGGACAGGAATGTGATTTGGGGGTGAGGGAGAAAAGCACAGGCCCAGAGTAGTAATTCCCACAGACCTCTGGGCTTCAGATGCCTTTGGAGTAGCAAGAAGAGGGGCCAGATTGGGGTCAGGCCCCACCCTACCTCTGTCCAGGGAACACTGGACAGAGACAGCCACACCCAGCCTCATTTCCTGGTAGGCTCCAGCCCCACACACCTATTATGGAAATGAGGTGTAGGGCCATGTGGTCAAGGAAATCAGTATGTCAGCTTCTTCCCTCCCTCCCTATCAGATCACTCAAGAACTGAGCTGATCTCTCAAGTTGGAGCTGGACTTGGGGGAAGGAGCCTTTCAGAGAATGCCTCTCTGGCTTTCAGTGACAACTTTTTGTGCACCCCTTCCCCCAGTCTTTCACAACTTGATTTCTCTGCTCTGGCCTCAGGAATCTGGGTATTCTTCATCCCTTCCCCCAAGCCTCCTCCAGGAAGCCTCTCCAGACAACCTGTTTCGCATCTGCTCTGTCGGCTGTCTCCCACCCATCTCTGCGTCCTCCTGCAACAGGGCCTCTAGGGGCCTACGGCCCTCCTGCCCACTCCGGCGCGTTCCAGCTTGGACCAAAAGCCTGGGCCTCTGCGGGGTGAGCGGCGCGGTGGCTGAAGCGGCCTGGGGAGGGGCGGGGCAGGCAGAGAAAGGTGGCCCTCGGCCAGCCCCGCCTTTACCTGTGTAAGCAGATCAGCCCTCGCCTAGCGGATAAAAGGGACCGATCTCCCCGAGATCAGTGAGTTCGCCTCCTTCCCGCCTTTCGTTAGTTAGACGGCCCCAGCATGTCCATCCACTTAAGCTCCCAAGTCTTCAGTTCGCGCTCCGCTGCTTTTCCAGGGCGCGGCGCCCAGGTGCGCCTGAGCTCGGCGCGCCCCCTTGGCTTCAGCAGCAGAAGCCTCTACAGCCTGGGCGCCTCGCGGCCGCATGTGCCCCTGCGCCCCGCTTCCGGGGGCCCGGTGGGCGCCGGCATCCGCGAGGTCACTATTAACCAAAGCCTGCTGGCTCCGCTGCGGGTGGACATCGACCCCTCGATCCAGCAGGTGCGCCAGGAGGAGCGCGAGCAGATCAAGACCCTCAATAACAAGTTCGCCTCCTTCATCGACAAGGTGAGCCGGCCACGCTCTGCCTCAGGTCCCGCTCCAGGCCACAGCAGCCACCCCAGCCCTGACGGCACCAAGATAGGTGCTTGGAGGCCTGGTGTGTTCTGTCTTTCCGCGCGTGTTAGGGACCTTCCCCTTCCTCCTCCCCAGGAATCCTGTGACTGTCCCTGTCCGTCTCCAAGCCCTTCCTTCCAGCAAGCTGCCCAGGTTGCAGTGCTTTGTCCACACGGAATGTGTGCCTGGGTCTGTCTGGCAGCGCTGCCTGGCTGTATCTGTCAGTGGGCTGGGGTTCTTGGACCGGTTTTGTCACTGCTACAGTTTGGGAGCGCCAGGCGCCAGGGCCGGAAGTTCTTTCTCTGGGCCCCTTTCTTTGAGAGGAGGCTGTGTGGAGTCTGAGATGGGATAGGGGATGACGCCCCTTCCTAGCTGAGGAGCTCCCCTCAGATACTGCCTACCCTGAGACAGATGCTGGAAATAGAAGGCTGGAGGGAGGGAGGGAGGCTTCCAGGTACCCCCGTCCTACCTACCTGGTCCTGCAGCCTCCCTTTGGTCCTGCCCTTGGAGATAGCCCATCTGGGGGGCAGGGAAGGTGCACTGAGGGGGCCTGGGGAGGACCATTTGGGAGGTGTTTTTCCTGGCTGGGTGGATCCCACAGGGGTGCTGGCTGGGGGGATGAGGTGGGAGTTGGGAGTGAGGGGGCAGACTTGACTGGTGGGTCTGGGGGTGGGCAAAGTGGTGCTGGGCCCAGGAACTAAGGGCTAGCCCAGTTGGGCCCCTCAGCCAGGGCTTCCCCCTCAGGTGTGGACCAAACCTTTCCTCTCCTGCCTTTGTGTAGCTCTCTGCTTCCCAGCCCACCATGTCCTTCTCTTCCTCAACATTCAGACCCTCCCTGTCCCTCAGCTTCTGCTGAAGTCTTCCCAGGCCCAGGTTTCTCTGCTGCCTTTGAGCTGCTCTGCCTTATGTCTGCAGCCCCTAAGCCCTGCTGCCCAGAGTTGCTGGTTTTAGGAGGCTTGCTTCCCACCCCCAGTCCTACTGGGTGCTCCTTGTGGGCCTAGCACGGAACTGGTGCTCCTTTTACAATGACTTGATTGTAGCCTCCTGTCCTGAGGCCTTGCTGGAGGAAAGGGGAAGGGGAGAAGGTATACTGAGGGAAGAAGAGACAAGATCCCATCCTGAAGGGAGGGAACCGAGTTAGGCCTGGGACAGAACCGAGTTAGGCCCGGGACACAGGAAGGATGCATAACTCTTCAGAGAGGAGGTAAAGATCACCTGGAATGCAATGAGAGCACAGGGGGCAGAAGGCCCTGGAACACAAGCACTGGGCCACCTTGGTGAAGCAGGCCCACCTGGCCCTCTGTCACACTCCGAGACACGTGAGACAGAGTCCTGTAGGACAGGCTTGTTTGGGTGGGGTTCCTGGAGGAGAGGGTCAAGGGCTGGGGGCCCAGACTGGTGGAACAGCCAGTGGGAGCATGGGCTCCTCTGCGTGGTTGGAGACTGTCCCAGCCCCACTATGTGGCACCATCAACACCTCCTGTTTCTTCCTCCATCCCAGGTTCGGTTTCTGGAGCAGCAGAACAAGCTGCTGGAGACCAAGTGGGCACTGCTGCAGGAGCAGAAGTCGACCAAGAGCAGCTGCCTCCCGGGCATCTTTGAGGCCCAGATTGCTGCTCTGCGGAAGCAGCTTGACGCCCTGCAGATGGATGGGGGTCGCCTGGAGGTGGAGTTGCGGAGCATGCAGGACATTGTGGAAGACTTCAAGAATAAGTACTGTCCCCTAGTGCGACCTGCAGGATGCATGCCCTGGGCCAATGTGTCCCTCATGAGCTGACCTTTGCAAGTTCCCTTTGGGTTAGGCATCAGAGGGTGCAGCTAGCGGCTCAGTACAATAGCTCCCTGAAGGGAAGGTCTTGGCTAATACATTTTCTACTTCTCCTCTCCACTTTTTATCCCAGAGGGCTGTTTCCCAGTCATTCTGGTCTGTTCTCCTGACTTATTCCTAGTGAAATATCTCTGCCCATCTCTGACCTGTACTGTTCCCTTTGGATGCCTGACTAAGGTCCCAAGAGAGGGTAGGGCAGCTCTGCTTCAGAACTTGCATGAGCCTCACAGATTATTCTAGAACAACTCCATTTTGCTCAGGAATTAGAGAGGTTTAGGGACTTGATCAAGATCACACAGCAGATCACTGGGAGAGCAGGGACTTGAATTTTGAGACATGGAGCACACTTGGGATGGAAAGAAGCCAGGAGAGAGAATGGTCATTGTGAGCCATGGGAGGGGTTGCGGAGGATGAGGGGTGGGTCTGGTCAGGGCAGGAGTCAGAAGGGAGGCTATGAGGAGGGCAGGGAGTGCAGGGGCTAGGAAGGTTGGGGTTTTGAGGACAGACCTTTGAGGTGCCCATGAGTTCTCTTTTCTCATTGAATAGAAACCAAAGCCTGAGGCTTTGGCTGGGCCCCACCCTGACATACCTACCCAGTGGGCACTGGGAATTGTGAGCTTGCTCTGTCTGCCTGGGATGTATGACTAAGCTGGAGTAGAGACACTGGCTCTGACTGGAGGAAGAACAAACAAAGGCCTGTGTGGAAAATGCCCACCCCTCTACTTCCCTAGGGCAACAGTCAACAGGGTTAATCCCACAGCAGGTGGAACCAGACAGGTGCAGAGCAGGAAAGGCCCGGCAACCAGTGAGCCCCTGTTGTGTGCACATGCATGTGTGTGCACACATAATCCTCCCCCCACACTAACCCGAGGAGCCAGGCTGCGCTCTGGGCTGGGACTGAAGGGGGCCTGGGAGGGGCACAGGGAGGGGCCCTGCGGGCAGCTGCCTGTGAGCTCCCTTTTGCATCCCCTCTGGGCCCAGGCATGGTGCGGAGGCACGGGTGGACCGACGGCCTTGAGGACATTTCTGTAACTCTTCTGTAGTACCTGAGGGATGAGGGCTTTGGGAGTCTGACTGCCAGAGCATCCTGCCCCCCACCCGGCTCCTGGGGCTCTCCTGCAGCTCTTGGGCACTGCTGAGTTCCATTTCTGACACCTTTTTAAAAAGTCCCCAAGTGAATGCTGGCTAGGCGCAATTAGGCTCACATGCTCTCTTGCTCTGTGGATGGCCTCCTTTGGTGGGGCGGCTCCTTAGGAAGAAGAGGGATGGGAGCAGACCTGTGGAGCAGGGATGGGAGCTGGACAGTCTAGCTGGGCCTGGTTCTTCCAGGACTTTCTGTACCCTCTTTCCTGATTTCACAATTAGAAGGATTGCTCCCCTTCAGGCCCTTTCTTCACCCTCAGGAGGTGGGGTTAGGTTGTGGGTACAGCATGGGCTGAGTTAGAATGCTAGGGTTCAAGTCTGGGCTCTGCCACTTAGTGTCTTACTGACTGGACAGATTATTCTGCCTCTCTGTGCCTCCGATTCCTTCCCTGTAAATCATAGTTCCTTTGTTCCAGGACTGTTGTAAGGATTACATGAGAATGCACGGGAAGCTCATACCCGTGCAGGCCCCCTATGAAGCGGTGCCTAAGCATGGCTAATAGTCTTGCTGCCAGCATATGCAGCCTTTGTCCTTTAATCCACATTATTTCCTGCTCCCCATGCCCTCAACCCATGCCAAGACTCAAAGCCTTAGGAATAGCTTTTATATGGAACATGAAAAAGTCAGGGACATTTGGTTTTATAACTCACACATGGTTTTTGCAGTGTGTCACTAAGGAGAGGGCGAAGGGAGGCAGGGCAGGTTTTCACACCTGGATACAAGGAGGGATGGAGGCAAAGCTGTGCCAACACCATGCCCACCCCTCTACTGCAGGTATGAGGATGAAATTAACCGTCGGACGGCTGCTGAAAATGAGTTTGTGGTGCTGAAAAAGGTGAGGGGGCAGACAGGTAGGGGGCATGTTACATGAAAATACATGACACAGGGGACCACAGGGCCCTCTCACCTGAACAGACAATAGGGACCAAGGTGGCCAAGGTCTGGCCTGGGTTTGGAGGAGAGATCTGGAAGTCAGGCCCTTAATAACACAGCGTGTGTGTGTGTGTGTGTGTGTGTGTGTGTGTGTGTG